CCCCAAAACCCCAAAACCCCAAAACCCCAAAACCCCAAAACCCCAAAACCCCGAAGATTTTATTATTATTTGAAATAAAATGAACTCTATCAAAAAACTAGCACCTTTAAAAGTCTCCCAAGGTAAATCTGACTCTAAATTATCCAGATTTTAACAAACCTAAAGTTAACCGTAAATCAGTTCCAAGAAGCTCTACTTTCCTGATCTCTCCGATCACTCGCAAGATCAAGAAGGTACAAAAGGTGAAGCATAAAAGCAATAACAGTGACATTGACTTTAAGCAATTTCAGAAGTAAACTCAGCTTTCTAATTCTTAGATCTGCCCAGCAGGTATCAAAAAGAAGATCTATGGCTCTCCTTCCGATCAACGATGTCAAAGTTGTGAACAAAGGTAGCACTATTTGATCAGTTGCATAACCAAGTTACGCAAAACGGATATTTATCCTGATCTATAGGTACAATGCCGGAAGGAGATCACTTCCATAAACAACACTATAAAGTAAATATCAGCATCGAAACTGAAGATATGAACCCACATGAAGACTCTGAAGAGGGAGAGAAGCAAGCTCAGGACAGAACTATGCAACTCTTCTACAAGTAGGCCGTTTGATATATCTGTAGAGAGGTCCAGAGAAAAGTCAGAGAAAAAGAATGGGCCAAAAAGCATCTTGAATTTTTGAAAAACAAGAGGGAAAACTCTAAGTACAATACTAATGACATCAATTCCCAGATTCAGATGTACAGAGAGATCTTACAGCATCCAAAGAATCTCGGCAAGATAAAGTAAATTTTAATACTAATTTTTAGAAAATAAAATGAAGATCCCTAAAATTAACCAACAGAAGCTTAAAAAACCAAGGAATACTCAGTCAATGCCAGATCTAACAAAGGTGATTCAGAAGCGTTCATTTTTACCAAAAGTGTCGAATGCTAATATGAAATCCAAAAGAGGGTCGTTTCAGATGTCTATGCCAACTCAGCGGAGCCAGTTAAGTGACCCTGATATGTCGCTTCAACCTCCAGATGAAGAACCAGAGTTCATGAATTGCTCTTCTTTGAGAGGAGGCTTAAACCCTGATTCTATAAAATATTTCAAAGAATCATATCCCACTAAATCTAAATAAAAAGGATAATGAAGGTATGTATTTATGAATAATTCATAGACTGGAGTAAAGCAAGGTATGGCATCCAAATCTCTCTGCACACATACTAACGTCTCTAAAAGTGTGATGATCTTTCCAATCATCACATTTCCCTTCTCAACCTTTCTTACTAACTCTTCTTCCTCTATAGGTACAACATCCATGTCCTTCCCTTCAGATTTGAGATGAAAAAGCGGCCTCTTGAAACATCAGCTACACGTCTTCAAAAGTCTGACTGGGAAAAGGCCAAAAAGAAGAAGAACAAGGTAAATTCCTGTTCATCCCTAGTACATTGAAAAGATCCTAGAAATCCGTAAGAAACCTCGTAGAGGACTAAATGACCTGAAAGAGAACCAACTTATGCTGGAAAAAGGTATTTAAACTCTCTAAAATCATAGTGATGTACGACCGGAGCCAAAGAAGACTAAGTTAACTTTAATAACGCATTTCGAGATGTACAAATCCGGTTTTTGGTAAACAAGTGGGCTGAACATCAAATTAACACATTAGTACTAGGCTTGTTGGCTTGGAGTATTTTGGAATATATCTCTGTTTTGGTGGTTTATGGTTAAATCTCTCATTAGCAAAATTTCAGAGACTGCTTATTTACTCTGAGATGGATCTTTGTTATGTGTATCATTCGTTTCCAAGTTTGTCTAGAATTATTTTAGTGTAGCCATTTATTAGAAGAATGCATAAAAGTCTAAAATACCTTTTTCAATAATCTTTTCTCTGAACGGGGTTTTGGGGTTTTGGGGTTTTGGGGTTTTGGGG